CCTGGAGGACATTATGCTGAGTGAGGTATCTCAGTCACAAAGGGACAAATGCTATATGGTGCCACTGTTGTAGAATGAGGCTGGCATTGAGGTGGGGGTAAGACTGAGAAAAACTGGATGAAATATGTTTACAGCATTGAAGTCTATGGGGGAGAGAATAGTCTAAAAGAGATGCACATATTTTGAAAGCACTTGATTGACCATTTAATTCAATGTATATGACTTGAGTGTTTACTCAGTTTACTGTGAGCTAGGAGTAGAGGTGGTGAGGGGAAGAGAAGAGATAGGTCTTCATGGCTCTTCTACACAGTCCCTTGCCCTTCTTGCCCTCAAGTCTAGCAAAATTGGAAGATATCACTTCACATTAGTGATAATAACCACATACTGGAATTTAGGCCAAACACTTAGATGACACTTTTGCATATAGTATACTTAGCATAAGTTGCTCGTATTATCGTGCTTAGTCAGAGGTTTAAGTACCTAGCTTGAGGTGTTGTAAATAAGGAGAACAAATAAATTGCAGAGTGTGTTATTAAAATGCAATTCCCTGAGGCTGCCAAGCTTTTTACATTATTCAGAGTCAGAATGCGTTCGGGGATTAATAGTGACGTGCAACAAGCCTAGAGGAAGGAGGGGCAAGAATTTACAACAGGTATCATTTGATGGCTCCAAGCTGTCCCTGCTAAGCACATCCTGCTTTCTCCAGAGAATTTGGTCACAAATGATTTCTGAGAGTGCTAACTCAGAAATCACCTCTCGGGTGGTTGGCTCTGTTTCTCTGATTAATCACCCATACAACACAGCCTATTTATCAAGTTTCAGCTGATCTTCCAAGACTTGTTCATGATTTCTTTCTCCAGATTGATCCTACCTTGGTCTTAGTTGGAAACACTTTTCTTGATGGTTTTCAATCTTTCACTTAAAGACAACAATGACAATGATAATAATAGAAATAAGAGAGTTTAAAAAAAATCAACACCACAACAAGATAAAGGTAAACAACCCAATTGAAAAATGAGCGCAGAATATGAACAGACACTTCACCATAGAAGACATTCAGATGGTGAACAAACATATGAAGAAATTTTCAAAATCCCTAGCTCAAAGAGAGATGCAAACCAAAACAACTATGAAATATCATCTCACCCCAGTAAGAATAGCAAAATTTAACAGAACAGCAAACAACAAATGTTGGCAAAGTTGCCGAGAAATGGGAACCCTTATTCACTGTTGGTGGGAGTGTAAAGTGGTGCAACCATTGTTATGGAAGGCAGTATGGCACTTTCTCAAAACGTTGGAAATAGAAATACCATTTGACCCAGCAATTTAACTACTGGGAATATATCCTAAAGAAACCAGATATATGCACACCCATGTTTATTGTGGCTTTGTTCACAATAGCAAAGAGTTGGAAACAATCCAAGTGCCCATAAACAAATGAATGGATAGAGCAGCTCTGGTATATGTACACATGGAATATTATGCTGCATTGAAAAACAAGGAACTCATGATATATTATACAAAATAGGTGCCCCTGGAGGACATTATGCCGAATGAAATATCTCAGTCACAAAAGGACAAATTCTGTATAGTGCCACTGTGTTGTAAAATGGGACTGACATCGGGGTTGGGGGAAAACTAGGAGGGGATAAATAATGTATACTGCATTGAAACAGATGAGGGAGAGAACTGTTTAGGAAGAATATATGATTAGGTATTATTGTCATGACAAGAGTCCAGAATGAAGGCTGCATATGGACTGGGGGCAGGGGGAAATTGCATAATAATGAAAGATTAAAAAAATTTTTTTTTTACTTTTCAAAGAGAAAAGCAAACTGGGGGGGGGGTGGACAGAGAGGAAAATGCAACAATGAATGAATGGAAATCCAAAGTCTCTGTAAACTTACATTAAAATTTAAAAAAATGACATATATATATATATAAAATCTAATTGAGTCAAGTTATATAATTAATTGAAATAAAAACTCTATGAGAAATGTATCATCATTATCTCCTTTTTTACAGGTTATGAAATTGAGGTACAGTAACTCAGGAGTGACTAAAGGCTGCTTTTCCATGCCAAATATGAAATTTTGTCATCAAGATCCAATAATTGGACTTTTCATTCAAATAATCATCAGCATCTAATAACTGATGGAAGAAGCATAGGCTGTTTCTAGTTCTTTCTTTTGGTTACCATTTCTTTCTGATTACTGGATTTTATTTTTTTACCACATTTCTTGACAAATTGATAACAGTGGTTTTCAATCACTGGTTGTACATTAAGACCACCTGGAGTATTAGAAAATTTCTGATGTCCAGGATTTATCCAAGACCAGTGGGTAGTATCTAGGTTTCTAAAAGTTCCCCAGAAGAATCTAC